GTTGGGGGGGTGGGGGTGGGGGGGGGGGCTGATCGTGGGATGGCCTGGCCCACATCCTCCGCTGGGGTGGAGAAGAAACGAGGAACTTTGGAGAAAGCAATGAAACATCGAACCCAATTAGAGCAGTTGCATCCACAAACTGTATTCCAACGTGTCACCGTTCGTGGAAAAACTATTTTCATTTTTCGGGAGGGTGTCTTTTTTTTTTTGTTTTTTTGGGTGTTTCTTTCATTTTAAAATGTGTCAATCTGACCCAACAACCTAACCGGAGGCATAAGAAGGCTATGGGTCGACATATACCCAGCGTAAACATAGCACAGTAGATATGATGGTAAAAGTTGCATGTTTTGAAGAAAGAAATAACTTTTTTTTTTTGTTTTTTTGGGTGTTTCTTTCATTTTAAAATGTGTCAATCTGACCCAACAACCTAACCGGAGGCATAAGAAGGCTATGGGTCGACATATACCCAGCGTAAACATAGCACAGTAGATATGATGGTAAAAGTTGCATGTTTTGAAGAAAGAAATAAAAAAGAATGGTTTAGTCATAAATTTGAGGACAAAAAGTACACTAAAATGTATATAATGGCACATTTTCGAGAAAAAAAAAAAGTAGCGCAAACAATATTCATTCTTAACCACATGACCAACCGTTCGTTCCATTGCAAATAAGTACAAGATACCATTTTGGACAAAGCAGCTCCCTGATGAGAAAAGCACTAATATGGGGCCTGGGGAAAGTGATAGAGGGTGACCCGCCCCACATTCAGACTTTGAAGAAAAAAAAAAACAGGCAGTCTGTAAAAAGCAACGAAACGGCAAATCCCAGGAGAGCCGTCCATCAGCATACGATATTCCCAAGCGTAACGGCGGGATTCAGAAGGAAACGCTTTCTGCCTGACTGACAAAAGATCGCTCCAAAAAGCTGCTGGAAAATTAGAAGACTTAAATCAGAACATTTGGACAGGACGACTGAAGAGACGTCGTCATCCCTTACGCTCGCTAAAAAACACGAGCGCAGACGAAATCGACATTCCTCTCAGATGGGAATATCCATTCCCATTCTGTCACTCTCTGGGGAAACGGGCGAACGTCTGCCTGAATCCGAGCGCTTTTCCCCGCCGCGGGAACTCGAGGGAAGTAGGGAGATGATCGTTGACGAACGGCTGGGACGAAAATGCCAACGTTTGAATCCCAGCGGGAATCCTGGCAGATGAAAGAGCGCGAACAATGGAAGCGTAAAAGCCAAATAAAGCCCGACTGTCAAACACGCTTGAAATATTAGAGGCCGATTGCCGGCGATTGTCGGAACGACTGGAAGCTGTTAGACAGGAAACTTCAAAAGGAGATCATCTGAGAACCGCGACAAAGGAAACGCTTTGACTTTGCATCGCAATCGACGACGACCACAATGGATCCCTTTTGAGCGTTTGATGGGTTCTCATGCGCAAGTGGACGCAAACGCAAATAGTGCAGTTATTCGACATGCAAAGGTATCTTCCGATTTGTCGATATTATTTTGGGACCTCGCCTCATTTGCTGAAAAACTCAATTTTTGTTTGTGTTTGTGCTCAGGCCAGCGTACTAAAACATATATGCGTTGAAATTCAATGAACGGAAAGGGCATTAATCAGCTCCCTGCAACCCCTCCATGTTTTTTTAATAAGCAAAATAGCACTCTATATTAACTTCATAAAACTCAGTACCAATATAAATACAAATGAAGTGAATAATTCTAGCGCGATGATTAATTCATTGCGACCTCTTGTGTCCGTGACACGGAAACTTTCACAAAAACTAAAACCGGAGTCTTTTTTTTTTTTTTTCCCCAACAGGATAAAGAAACTATGCCTGGAAGTACCAAAAACGCAACACAATTAATTCCTCGCTTGAAATGCTTCTGGTGATTACATCCCCCGTGAACATTTTTTTTTTTTTTTAAACCAGTGAAGAAATGCTTCGCTATGCTAGCTGCCATCATAGCTTATGGAGGAAACATATTTAGGTGCCGTTCTGCATGCTTAGAGCTAATGTGTGAGACTGATAGGAATGGGTTTCGTCTCGTCGCAGTTTGTAGTGGAACTGATTGGTTCCCTTGACCTTGACTGCAAAAGATCAGAGGAGCATACTGCATGGCACCGGCTAGTAATATATTTGTCTTTACACACGGTGATGCAACATATGGCTCATTGTGCGAGGTTATTTTGAGCCCCCCCCAATTCCCTACAACTGCAAAGCTGCTTGATCTTTAGTAAACCGGTAAATGTGCCTTTTTTTAAAACATTTCTTTGTTTTGTTCTCCAAGTGCATGCACATCCTGCACATCCTGCTTTGGAAGATTTTATTTTAAGATCGGCGGCTTGAATGAAGGTTGTTTTGGTACTCCCAGCTGCAAAGAACTAAACAAGTGTATGTTTGTGAAATTTTTTGCATAGTTGTGGCAGCAACAACGGAACTACCCATGTTAGTGCAAATGACCGTGTATCCCCCTTCCGAATCTCTTACTCCGTGACCGCCGCTGTCGTTCATTTTATCGCTGGCACTGTCTTATCGATGACCTTCCCTTGCTATCCGCTCTCGAAGCTGTACACAAGAGTCCCTCGGTCTCTCCGCTGACATTCCAATCACGGGACGCTGGCAAGTAATTAATGATGCAATGATCGGGGACTTTGCATTGATTTCCAATTTACATGTGACCGGCGAACTCTTTGCAGACCAGGTCATGCAACAGTCAGTTCCCCAAGCACACTAAGAAAACCGATTTTGCCACATTTTTGCATCAGCTGAGTGGACATAGTGCTGCTCCTTCAGTTGTGTGTATTTTGGCCACCTGGGGGCAGTATCATATAGAGAAACAGACATGTATGGATTAGTCATTCGCACATGTCAGTATTGTAGTTTCTGTCTACATGTGTTGCACCACTATTTCTGTCCATGGCGTTTTTTTCACTATGCATTAAGCTTGTGGACTTTAAGGCAAGTTATGTGGTTGTTTTAAATTCCCCAAAGTGTAATTGGCTTTGGTTCATTTTTAGTTTGACAGTAAACTTAATGTTGAAAATATTTGCCCGAACAAAGAGAAGATTTTTGGACAGCTTCTCAAGTTTAGGATTCTCACGCCACACGTTGGCACCGTGAACCCCTGCTGGGATATTATTCTGCTTTCAGGAGCGGCGTGACCACGTTTCTGCATGGCTGCATTGTGCAGGTGTAAAGCGGGACCTGATGGATTTACGCCAGTCCCTCAGAAGATGCGCCAGCAGCGTGGACCTCTGGGACGTGACACGCTTTTGGGATAATCTGGTTACACAACAGCACCCATTGTTCACTTCTTTAAGTGTGAGCCTTTTTTTGGGGGGTGTGACATCATAGTAAACCGCCCAGTGTTCAACCGGATTACAATTGTTTATTTTTCCCTGGCGGGATTAAACGTGCGCATGAGTCAAAGGCAAAAATGAATTTTAATGAAATAGGCAGACGGATACACGGCGGATAAACAGATTGATAAAGTGGCATACGCACATACACATTCACACACAAGCACACAAACAGCCAGTCCAGCAGTCTGTAATTAATTGGATGAAAAAGCAAGCGGCATATTGATTTTCCAATGACATGGACTCAAGAGTTTCAAGATCACATCACGGGCGGGCACCTCTATGTGTGTGTGTGTGTGTGCGTGCGCATTCCTTCCTGTAATGTATGCATGTTATCTGGGACAAGCATCCTTCATGGCCATGTTTGGGCTTATTGAAAGCAAGCTCACTACAGTCATGTACAAAAAGTCCGCCGTATCCATATAAAGAGCCGTCCCTCCTCAGACACACACACACACACACACGCACAAGGTTCAGGATGCCATCCGGTCTCTTGTTCAAGCGCATTGTTCCTCTACGGTGACCCAGAATCTCGCCGTTGAGGTATTTGAACTCTCTCAGGGGCGAGCGATTACGACAGTGGACAGCTAATGACATGGTGTGATGGCTAAAAATGTCACTCAGGACAAAATATAGTCAATAGACATTTCTAAGACTTTATCATGCTCCAAAATGGACTTTAAAGGGCATGGAAAACACCAAGAGTTGCGTTTAGTTTGGACACAATGCAAGGATAGATGTGTAGGCTACAGACCAAAGATGTATAGGCTACAATTGATCACAGCTACTCAGGAACAAGCCATTTGACAATAATATTGAGCCAAAGACATGATTATCTATCTGCATTGATGCGCTGTGACTCATTCGAGGTCAACTACTTTTACTTGATTTTAGTTTCCAAAGCAAATGATTCCAAGCAAGACCTATGAAATACCTTCGGCAATCAGCACCATGTTATTTCGCCAAGTCCAAAGTTAATATACATAATAGGCTGCTCTGGAAAATTCCCAATACAATTGTTTTCACGGTAAATTTTTTTTAAACTGATACAGAAAACATTGCCTGAGAGTGTCTGCCTTTACAGCAGCTCCTATATTTTGTTCTTCTACTTCTTCCTTTCTTAACTTTGAAACGACAGATAAACATAATGGATGCAATTACAAAAAAAATTACTCAGGTCCAAAAAAATAAAAAGCCTTGAGCCACATGCTGCTTCACCAGTCTTTTATCACACGCAGCAGCGTTTTGTGTTGCTCTTACAGTCACTCCCAAAGGCAGAGTTGGTTTATTTTCATTTGAGTTTATAAATATGCATTATCTGCAGCAACAGCTATGCTAAGCGTCCAGCTGTTCACAGTTAATTCCCGTTAGCGTCTTAAATAACAAGTTATGCGGAGTGGGTGGCGGACCTTTGTGAAAAGGTGCGCTTGGATGAGTTTGGTGTAAAAAGAGCAAGCCTTTCAGAGGATCAAAAGTCGAGACGGTGGAAAATCAGTGGCAAAGGCTCGAACCGCACCGCAATCCCTCCACTTCCTGTTTGTCGGAATGCGTCGATTTACTTTTGTCTATGCTGAGAGACATTCTTGCGGTCAACAGTCACAGACTCAAATAGCCTCTGACGCAGTGTCTGCTCAACACATGGCCTCCTCCATCGCCTCGTCTGTCAACGACCGCCGTGCAAACAGTACGTATACATTTGCTATTTTAAGCGGTGGGGATAGGTGTGTTTTTTTTTTTGGGGTGGGGGGGCTGAATGTGTAAACGTGGGTCGGCTTAGCTCCTCTTCGAAATCCTTTCATGTGTCTGCTAGCGTTACGCCGCATCCATCTTGAAACCATTTTGCGCAGAAATGTGCCCCCCAACCCCCACCCCGTCATCTGGATGCCGTTAGCAGCAGACGCCTCCGCGGTGAGCTTTGTGTCGCACCGCAAAATTCACGTGACCGTTCTCCCGCGATCGCTTTAGCCATGACGATGACCTCGCCTTCGTCATGTTTCAGGAGCTTTTGAATGACAGAGGCAATCAGGCCAGAAAAAAAAAAAAAAAATCGCAGGATTTGTAATCATTTCTTCTTATTTTTTTTTTAATCTAACATTTAGTTCAACAGCACCGACATTCTTTGAGGAACAAAATCGGGGCGGTTGCAAACATGTTGCCCATGAAGGGACAAAACAACAAGTGATAGACAAGTACGACAAATTCCAGTGCAATTGGGTGTATGGACTGACTTAATTTCTTTACCGGGTCGCAAGTACGTGAGTTTTACGAGGTCGTGTTTGCTACTGTGACTTGTTTCAGTCACATCACTAAGGGGTTAAATAATGTATTCATTTTGTTGTGTACCTCCTCCTATCGCCCTTCCTGTGTGAGCCTATTTCATGGGAAGTGACAATGTTTCTCTCTCTCCAAGGACTTTCTATATTTTTTTCTTGGGCCAGGTGCAACACCTCCTCCCATCAGGAGCAGCCTGGGAATTACCGATAACGTAGTGATAATTCTGAGGCACAAGCGAGGCCTTGACGTCACAAGCAAGTGATGAGAGAAAGCGATGACACAGATTAAGAAATAAAAAGGAAGGAGAGCAGTGGAGGTGAGGAGGGCGCTCTCAGCGGAGGTGGTGACATTTGTACATATTCAACAACAGCACACCAAAAAAACCCCCAAAAAAACACACACCTGTTTCCAGTGTCAATATAGCTCAACTTCAGTGGTGTTCAAACTGGGGATCCCAAGGCCCACAGTGGTCCACGACCTTTAACTTGGAGGTCCGCAAAATAATTTTAATGAACCGCATTGTATGGTATCTGTTTTAAAAAGTGCTCACCGACTGTACATATGAAGTTTAAGTTGTGTTGTTGGTGTCAACTGTGCATGACAGCTGGCTAGGATGGAGAAATATTCAATCTATTTGAATCGCATTTGCTCGAGTTGCTTTCGATTAAACAGAATGAATGATTTGGGTGAAATTAACAAGAGGAAGAAAAAGAAGAATGATTCCCATGGGAATTAGGGATGCACCATGCACATGGTACTTAAATTTTTAGGGGTATGAATTTGGCCAAGGAAAAGTTACCCCTCTAAGTGGTCCTTTGACTCAAAAATTTGTGAAATCCTGGGTTGGAGAAGATGTCGCTGCCAGAAAAAAATTATATCAATAACAGGACAAGGGACCTTTTTTTTTGGTAATGTCCTCACTATTTTCCACAGGCATTTCTTCGTCTGCTGTTCGAGGTTCTGGGAAGTAGACCGGACCCCTTCCTGCAAGTCCCACTTGAGCAGGGGGCCATCCATCAGCCCAGACACATTGAGCTATGTCAGCACGTCAGGATAAGGAGCTGGGAAGACGGGATGGATGGCAGCAAGCTATGTCGAGAGGTCACACGGGGTCCTGGTGGCAGGACGGGAGGAGATGGGGGTGGGGGGGGGTGACGTAATGCGTATGTGACCGGTGGAAAAAAAGATTGCGCTGGGACAAGTTTCCCCACTCCAAAAACCAGGAAGAACGTTGGGCATCTCATGGGGGCGAAACATGGTTTTCAGCATTTCGAGGATATTTTTTTCAGGAAAGCAAGACTAATGAAGCCAATTAGAGCACAACTACCCGTCTCGTCAGGCCAACGCTGACCTGATTGGAAGCCATTACGGACGTGCCTCTCTCTCTCTCTCTCTCTCTCTCTCTCTCTCTGCAATAACGCCACCTTGGATAAGTTGCCTCATCCTATTATCACATGGCATTATGAGTGTAAATCAATCACAGGCAGGAAGTGATCCGGGCGGGTACAGGTACACAGGAAATTAGAAAGAAGGTGGTGACAAGAAGGAAAATAATAAATAAAATCAACAGGAAATTGGACATTCAGGAAGTAGGTGACAGTGCTGTGCGGAAGAAAAGAAATTCAGCCCCAAAGTTTCACTTGGCAACTTGAAGTTTGGAAGGCATGTCATTGATGAGGACACCCTGAGGTCCGAAAAGCCAAAATACCACAGAAAGTCAGACATGTTGGTTTGAAGTGGCCATCATGTCAAAAATATTTTCATTTGAAGACAAGGACCAATGTTCACAAATACAACTAAAAGAAAGGTTAGCCAACTAGTTCAATTGTCATCCAAAAAAAAAAATCATACAAGTAAATGCAGCTAAAACTTCCAAACACAAGCTGTCAATGAAACGATGGCTTTTTATCTGACATTTTTCCCCCACAAAAATCCGATTTCCGCTTGCATCATGTTTTTCCTCTCTGCTAATATAAAAGTCAACAATGTTAATGACATGATTCAAAGCAACGTAGAACTAATACTCCCTCCACCAACCTCACAGCACCCTTTTTAATTCCCAAACCACCTTGTAAAAGACCAACCGCAAGGGTCGGTTTTCATTTCTATGCCACGAGCCCACCTCTCAGCCCTCTTTTGTCTCCGGTTCGTGATTAGCCTTTATCGACTTGATTAAAAGACGAGAGAAGCTGGATTCATAATTAACAATCTTCTAGCTTGTCTTGTAGGTGTTAGCTGACAGTAATTTTCTTTCTTTTTTTTCCCCCCCCTCTTCAAAAATAGTCTTGGGCCGCACACTCTCGGGAGCACACTGCTTTTAATTAGACTCCAATTAAAGAGGCGCTTTCATGCAATTTCTTTTAGTTACTGGGCGGCCGGGAATGTGAAAGCACAATTGGCAGTGAAATCCTTTTTTTTTTTTTCCCCCCCATGAATGGATGTCCAGGAGCAGTTTTTTTTTTTTTTTTCCCCCATGAATGGATGTCCAGGAGCCGAGGTAATAATTAGTCTTTATGGCAAGATTTTTATCGAATGGTAAGCGATACATTTACATCATCATTTATAAGCTAGCACGGGCTAAAAATCGACAAGTCCACGCACCTACATAGTCGTTGAGCACGTGCGTGACTTCTTTCATCGAGAAATGACACGACTTTGGATTTATGATCTCGTTAAACGCAACCGTTGGAGAACAAGCTTGCTTGTCACCAAAATAATTTACACTCGTTAAACTTCCATCACAATCGCTAACATGTCCTTCGCACTCTCGGCTGTCTCAAGTCTTTGATGACGCCGTTGAGCGAGGAGGCTACTTTGTATCAGGCAAGGCAGACTTTATTTAGGAGCATCTTTCGGTTTGCTTCTCCCTCCAAACAAGCTATGAAGACAAACCCACCGCTCTGTCTCTGCCTGGGGGACAGCAGCGCGCAGCCGAGGAGACCCGTCTGTTAGTGTACGCGTCATCTTTTTCACCCGATACCGGATGCGATGAAAATCACGTGAGCGGCCCTGATCGGGACATCCCGAATTATCTGATCCCACTGGCACGCTTAGTGTCAATTTAGAGTGGGCTTCCAGTGTCACATTTCATTTTCACTCCACCACCTTGGTAACATGAAATGCATGAAGTGGCTTTTACACCAGAGAAACCAAAGGTGTAATTTTGAGTGTGCGCGGTATTAAAGAGTGAACGGTGGGATTAGAAGGGGGGGTGTAACGGCTCCCCTGAAGCCAGCCAACAAATAGACGTGTATAATTAGCATAAAGGGGCCTTGTGAGCAGGGAAGAAAAGCACACATTATGCATTTTCTCACAGACGGGAGCGACTGGCTCACTTTCACACGATAAGAGAGACACGCCAGTTCGAGGGATGCGGAGCGTAATTATTGGTGGAAGAGGGAGGTGGGAAAAAAAAAAGCCTGTTGATGTAAAGCCTGAAAGCTTGTGCGAAAAAAAAAAGTGAAGACACAGCGTTTTTCCTTTCATGGACAGATGATGACAAGAATGTTTCATTAAGTCCTCCTTAAGACTCACTCAGAGGGAGCAATCAGGCTCGCTCATTATGCAACGCACGCCGCATGACTGCAACTTTGGGATCTTTTTTTTTTCTGATTCTTGCTTTCTATGTTGTCATAAACGGACGGGGGGAACCGTCTGTTTATGATCATAAATAATTGGCAAGGACTGATGGTATGTCCATAATTATATGACACGTCTATGTTGCTATGTAAAATATAGAACAAGGCTCGGTTGCTTTTTTTTTCTGGGCTAAAGCGAGTCTTGCTACCCTGCCAACATCATCACAGAACATTGGAAGTCAATAGAAAATGCGAAATAAATGCCTTTTCCCCTGTCTATAAGGCCTTTGGAAATTATGGTGATGGCAGGCCGGTTTCAGGTGCAACATATCACATAGTCGTGCAAAATTCACCAGAAATCACCCTTGATTCCCACCAGAGGGGAAACGGCTAAGTCAAAAAAAATGTGGGGAAATAAAGTTCATTTGACAAGGACAATAAGAAGAATCTTTCCATGTCGTTTGGAACTTTTTCCTCTCAAAAAATAAACAAGCGAGCGGCAAACTGCAAGGCGGAAAGGATCACACCTAGGATAGGCTGTGATATTTGCGGTCCGCTCTTAAGGGGGTTCCGAATGGTGGGTGGAAAAATAGAGCAAAAGGTCAAGACGCTTTAAAAGAAATCCCACCACCTTTTCTCCCGTCTCACCTGACAGACGGAACGAAGGCCTGTGGGGAAGGAACTAAAAATATGTCTGGGACAAGAGGAAAAAAAAAAGAGAATTGCCTTGGGCGATTTCTGAAAGAAAAACGAGAAAAGACGAAAAAAAAAAAGTTGACGACAACGGACAATATGCCATGCGCGTTCAACGTCATAAAAACTTAAAGAGGGTGCATTAAATAATGCACGACTATATGAGGAGACATCAGCCTGCACATCTATAACGTTGTCAGCCGTGTATTAATGATTCCCTTTTGTGGAATTCTACAGACGCACGGCTCCTGCGCCAGCTTACCGCTCGTCACTTATTACTCGGAAAGAAAGAAAAAAAAAAAGATGAAATAGATGTCAAATATTCATAAGCGCGGGGAGCAGAAACCACGGGTGTCAGTCATATTGTTGCGGCAAACATTTTCTATATTACTGTAATAAACTCCAGGAAACATCGAGAGTTGTCCTTCTCGTTTATAACTTGCAAGGAAGAGAAGCGAGTGCACTGAGAAGACAGTTTGGTTTTTTTTTTTTTTTTCAATAAATTTGCAAACATCTAAAACTAAATTTCACTTTTCACATGGACGCGTATGGGGGGTGTGGTGTGTAGAATTTGGAGGGGAAAAAAATAAATCTCGGAATAAAGCTGTAACTTAAAATGAGGGCAAAAACATTTGAGCTGACACGTGATAACAAACAGTCAGTTGTTTACAGTTGCTCAGGCACCGAGTACAGAAATAAACCCAAACACCAAGTCTGAGACAAAAGGCATGCCTGTCTGATGACATTTAAATTGGGAGAAAGGCAGTGTGGAAGGTGGCTTGTGGAGATACGATCTCAGGAGTCTGGATATTCACTTGACTACAACCCCGAGTTCTGCATCAGTGCCTTGAACATAAGAGAGAAGTGTGGTCAAAAGCCAGTTTCGACAGACTGGGTGAAAAGGGGCGAAATATTATCAATTCAAAGCCTGCTTGTTCCACATACATTGAATACATATCTCACTAATGTGATGTGTTTTTTTCCACAATAAAGTCCTGACTTTTGATATATGCATAATAAATGTTCTCAAAAATTACATTAGTCGAGTTACTCCAAAACCTGAAAAGGTAAGCAATCGCCAGTTTCATAAAATGACTCAAAATATATTGTTTTATGCATTTAGCCTGATATAAAACGTCTTATATTGTGATCGAAGATTTTATCCATCTCGCCCAGTTTTACATGCCAGTAGCATTTTCCAGTCTTTTGCGAAATGCCACTTTAAGGGCACGGCAGACTCAGCCAATCAATTTGCGTAGACTATACCCCGCGAGTCCCTTTTTGTACCGTTAAAGGGACAAGTTTTGACAGCGCCATGGATGGCTAGGTCCAATTTGTCACTGCGGTCGAGGAAGATTCAGGTAATTTTCTAAGGAGAGTTCAGACTTCACTTGACGCTCACTCCCTGGAGCTACTGCCGAGTGAAGGAAGCTCTTTGATTTATTTATAAAATTTTTGGGCGTGTATCAATGAGAAAACCTCAAAATAATTAAGTTGGGGTAAACTTCATCTTAATATTTGATCAAATGAATGCTGAACATTGAGCCAGCTAGCTTGATTAGCGCGTGTTAGCATTATGCGCGCGCCTGATCTATTATCAATCACGGCGTACAATTTGCAGAATATATTTTTGCACGCTCGCATGAATATTTGATTCCATACGTTCAATCAATTAACTTGTTCAGGTTTGGACGTCTAAAAATGGACGAAAGACAGAAAGGGGGAGAAGAAAATGAGGTTCCACTTCGCCGTTCAGCCCGATCTTTCTCCTGCTCTTAGAATGGTGAGTCACACTCCTCGCTGCCGCCGGGCGCGGCGTAATTGAAGCCCGGTGAAAGATAATGTAATTTGGAATAGATCATAAATAATGAATATGCCGAGCTAACAAAGTATATGGGAAAAAATATGATCTGCTGTTTTAACCGCGCGCTAGCTAAAGTGATGGAGTGCATCTCTCTGTCTGCAGTTCATATTGCTGTCTCGGCAGTGGCAAAGTGGAATTAATTAACAGGGGCATGATGTCAAGAAAACCCCAGTTTGTATTCACTTCAATGGAAATGTGAAACGTTTTTTGTTTTTTAAATTTTTTTCCCTGAGGAGGTATTTCACCAAAAGCGGGCAGATGTCACAACTCCAAAAAAAAAAAACAAGTCCCAAAGGTATTATCCAGTTTGTCAGTCTCATATGTCTAAATCACTGCACAAAAAAAAAGACAGCTCTGAGATTCCTGGATAACAATGCACTTTCCAGTCTAAATGAGCCGCCGCATTCTCACAGCCTGCCACTGCGTTTCCTCCTCTTAATCCCGGCAAGGGGGTTGCAGGGGGATTAGCCAAGGCAGCAATGATATCTGCGTTATGATATTAATACTTATTGGCCGTCATTCAGCACCTTTACTATCTCATTGCCCTCGTAATCTGTCAGTGGCCAAATTGACCCTGAAATGGCAAGTCATCAAATTTCACCACCATGCTCAGCCCACACACAAAGGCGGA